GTGTGTGTGTGTGTGTGTGTGTGTGTGTGTGTGTGTGTGTGTGTGTGTGTGAGAGAGAGATGGATTGTCACGGTCCAAATGAAACCCTGCTGCTGGGAGGCTGCAGAATCAGTGTTTTTATTTAAAAGTCAAATTCAAGCCAACATCATGACTGTTGACAGGAAGATGGACTCTCATTATAAACTCGTGTGAGATTTTTATCACAGCGTTCATGTTTTCCCTCGGATACCTACGGCCTTTTTCCCAAGACATTTCGGATCAAGCAAGATCGGTGGAAAGCATGCCTCTGTACCCTTTGGAGACTGACTGATCCATGTATTTGATACAGTTATGTCGTCAAATGTATTTAGGTAATCAGATTCTGAGAAATCATAGCAAATTAATCCCATTAAAGAGATCAAGATAATGTTAACATTTCACATTTTTCCATGTGGTTTATCTTAATAAGAATGTTTAATATTTAGCTGTAGTTTTCCGCTTTCCTCTTGATATGTAAAACAGCTGTCCACAAATAGCTTTTCCCTCTTGATAAGAGTTGGAAACTTAAGTGCATTTGTAAAACGAAATATATGCTTTATTATACTAGGCTTAACTATTTTTTTTTACTGTAAATGGAAATTGCTTACATTTTAAATAAGGCAATGTAAGCATTGTATTGTTTATTTGTCCATACTAGCTGTATTTTAGAACCTTTCTAATTTACCAAACAACTTTGTGTAATATTAAAATTAATTATCCAGACAGTGAACAGAAATTAAGAGTAGCTAGCTAGTTTAATTTAATCAGTTCAGTGCTGGCCCTCAGTGGCTTTAATTCTGACTTCTTTATGAAATCAAGAACTTCTTTTCCAACAAAAAACAAAAACCTTACCTTTCAAATCAGAAATCTTGCTTCTGTATTCTGTTCAGAAAGCTACTTACAATCATAGCCACTTCACTGGTTGTCCAACCCAGTACTAGAAAGATGCAATCTATTGCATAAATGCGTGCTAACATCACACAGTAGCTGCAGATTTGTCAGATGCACATCATGATATGAATCAGCTGCTCCAAAACCTCCCGAAGGTTCTCTAATAGACTGAGAATTGTTGACTGTGAAGGACTGTGTATGATAGCCTCCTGGAAACTACTATTAGAAGTAGTGCTGCTCATAAGCATTAGCAACAAAAAGTCACGTATGCTGTGACATTTAAACAATGCTAAATTGGTACTAAGGGACCCAAAGTGTGCCAAGACAATATCACTAAATCACCATCAGCCTATAATGTCAGATGTTGCTATAAGACAGGATGAATCAGTGTGTTTATACTTTTCTGACCCCACTATCTGAATGTTGCAGCACAAATTAAGATACACAAACCAGGGAAAGTTTTTTCCAATCTTCAGTTGTTCAACATTGGTGATTCTTAGCGAACTGTAGCCCCAGTTTCAAGTTAGTTAACAGGGGGTCATTTTAACCCTGTGTACATGCATAAATACAGTGAGTTACTGCCAAGCATTGGCTGAACAGATATTCACATTAACAAGCAGTTAAAATTAGTAGTGCAACGGATCACGGTTGATCCGAAATCCGAACCGATCCCACTCCACGGTTCGGTACGCACGTGATCCGAAGATTCGAAAAAGAAAAGAAAAGTATGTGTAAGGTGGCGTGGTGGGTCTGTCAAGCAATAGTTATGGCCAGCGCTAGCGGTCCAAGTGGCGGAGCAGAGGAGTTTGCGGCATTTAAGCAGCACTTTGCTGCCCAATCCGACCGGGCTAAAGCTATTACAAAAGCTACTGGTGTTTAGCTGCAGACGGGAGGCCGTATTCCGTTGTGCAAAACAAGGGGTTTAAACTGTGATGAACGTGCTTGAGCCACGCTATGATATCTCGTTGTGCGTCCATTTCAGTGTGACAAGGTCGTTCCAAGCATGTATGAGCAGGAGAAGTATAGGCCCTGTCTCAATATGCGTACATGTGCGTACTTGCGTACTCGTGATACGTCATCAGTCGGAGACCAAGTACTGTTCCAATTCTAAGTACTCATCAAGCCGAGAACGCGAAAAAGTCCTGGATGTGTTCTCGCTCCGCCTGTTTTATCGAGCATGCATCGGTGGTGACTTGTGTGGACTTGGTACAGCTAAATATCCCAGAATGCATTTCGTCCAAAACTCAAAC